AAACAACCTAGATGCCCATCAATGGAAGAATGGATAAAAAAAAATGTGGTACATATACACAATGGAGTACTACTCAGCAGAGAAAAACAATGAAAGCCTGAAATTTGCAGGCAAATGGATGGAATTAGAAAAAAATCATCCTGAGTGAGGTAACCCAAACCCAGAAAGACAGTCATGGTATATACTCACTCATAAGTGGATTCTAGATATAAAATAAAGAACAATCAGACTACAACCCACAGAACCATGGAGGCTATATTTATAGCATGGAGGTCCCTAGGACGACTGTGGCTTATAATAAATTTTGGTTTTACTCAATTACTGAGCAAGCCTCAATGAAACATCTCACTATTAAGATAAGAATACATACTCTATCAAGATGATAATAGAAAAATAAATTTTAAACAATAAGAAATAAATAAAAATAGAAAAATTTGAATATTAAACAAACAAACAAACATTTTACTAAAGTTAAAAAAAGGGAGAACTAGGGACTCATCATTCCTCTCCACATTCTATTCTTTCCCTTGTTTTATATATTTTAAATTTTTTTATCGGTGGATTCTGCTGGAGGATCCAATGCAGATAAGCACTGGAGGGCTCCTGTTGCAAATCACCCTCTGGAGCGATGGAAGGATCTTTCTACTAGCATGTGGAGGAGACCCAATCTAGTTTGGTTTATGTCTTTCCTCAGAACAATGAGGTTCCTCTTTGGATTCCTGAGCACTGAACGCGCCCTGTGGCTGCTGCTGAAGCCCAACATGACAGAGACCTAATGGGTCTTCATGAAAAAAATCTACCCTCCTGATGCCAATGGTGATTGAGAGCTCAATATGACCAGCTTTGGCAAGCATTAATGTAAGCCTAGGAACTGTAGCCATGAGATTGGATTCTCCAGAAGAGCTGCCAGCCAAAGTCATGCTGGGATCAAGAAAAACGGGCCTTGGCGGTTTGTGTTCCTGGAGTTATATCCATGCCAGTGGATGTCCACACAATCCAGAAGAGAATTTGACATTGCTGCTGCTGCTGTTGCTGTTATAACAATGGCGCACACCACTGCCACTGTTTCTGGGATTACCATTTCATAATTGCTTACTATAGCTAGCACAGTGGAGACCCTGGCAACAAAAGTAGCTACCGTAGTTAGTTAATCTTTCATTCTATTGGGCATGATAAATTTAATTCAGTAGTTATATACATCTCGATTGGCTTTGAAAATTATAAATTTATAAACTCAAGTTCCAGTTGCTTTTGGGATACTATCTTACAAGGACCCCAATGTACAGTATGGCTCGATAAGGAAGGGAATGGCTCAGTCGCCTTTAGCCTACTGGCTATGGGTGAGATAGGACCTCTGTTGGTCTTTTCTGTATCGAACACACAGATTGCAAGACCAGTGCCACTTTGAGATCTTTGGCAGGAATTAACCATGCAGCTCACACAAGATTGAGCCTGTATGATAATGAGTATTCAGAGATGGGTAATGCCTGGGGGGGGGGCACTCACCTACCTAAGACAGAGCACCTGTGTGGCCTGGGCAGGTGTCTCCATGACAGGTAAGGTGACCTGCGACGTCCCACGCAACCCAAGTCAGAAGCTCATTTTTCAAATAAAAGGGGGACCTGCAGGGCCCTGGCCTCCATTTTGGGTAACTGTTGCCTTGCTTGCGGACCTTGACCTTGATATCCTCCCAATGCTAATTCCCTGCCAGGTTCCACCCTCCTGAATGCTTAAGGGAAGTTCCTTGTTTGTGTATCCTGAATAATGGGTGTTAACAGTTTAGATGCAAGATTGTAAAACATCAGTATCAAACTTCTGCCCTCCGGGGTCCTCCCATTGTGCTGTAAGCCTATATTTAAGATCTCCTCCTTCCTTCAATAAATGACATTCGGCATTTAAATATATATATATATATATATATATATATATATATATATATATATATATATATATATATATATATATATATAATGAATAGTGTGAATGTAATCTATGAATACCACAAATGTGATTAATATCATGAGTGTAATTGGTGAATATCATGAGTGTAATTTAAAAAAAATTAAAAAAAAAAAAAAAAAAGCCTGTAATCTTGAGGAAATGTCTAATACCTAGCAATCCTCAATCATTCTCAGCTATTGACCCCAAAGGAGAATGGCCCTAACTAAAGGTTATGGTAGAATAGAAACATCACTAGGGTGACGTCACAGCAACAGTGTGAGCCTAGATGTGTAAGGTCTGGGTAGGATCCCCAGCCAAACCCCATAAGCAACAACAACAATCAAAAAGAGCAAAGGAGGGTGGGAGGGGGGAGAATAGGGGAACCCATGGCTGATATGTAGAACTGAATGGTATTGTAAAATAAAAAATATATATATATTAAAAAAAAAAAAAAAAAGAGCAAGGGAGCTGGGCAACGGTGGCGCACACTTGAGGTGGTGCCCAGCACTTGAGGCAGAGGCAGGTGGATCTCTGAGTTCAAGGCCAGCCTGGGCTACAGAGAGCCCCAGAATGGCCAGGACCACACAGAGAAACCCTGTCTCCTCCACTCGCACAAAGGGAAGAGAGCTGCTGTTGTGTTTCTCAATTGCCACTGAAAAGATTTACTTTATTTTTATTGTTATTAAGGCAGAGTCTCATCCTAGCCAAGAAATCATAACAGGTGTGCACAAAGTCTGGCTTGTGCTACTGAAACGGGTTGGCAAAGTGTCTCAAGAGAGTAAAAACACCTTGCAAAGCAATCCTGGTGACCTGAGTTCAATCTCTGAACCCCGCCTAAAGGTGGGAGAAGAAAACCAACTCCACAAAGTCGTCCTCTGATCTCTAAACATAAGCATGGCATTATTACCACCACCCCCCGACCACACATACAAATATTACTACTACTACTACTACTACTAATTTTTAGTAAAATACCTGCCATAGCCACAAAAGGGCATTAAAATGCCTGAAGCTGTAGTTATGGGCAATTATGAGCCACCCAACATGAGTGAAGGGAATTGAACCCAGGTCCTCTGGAAGAGTAGCAAGTGCTCTTAACCACTAAGCCATCTTTCCAGCCTACAACAATAATAAAATTTTTAAAGAGGAAAAAAATGTCTGAAAAAAGCCAAGAGTCAATTCTGAGGGAAAATAAACCTTCTCTAGTTGGGCATATTGGGGAAAGCCTGTAATCCCAGCACCTGGAAGACAAAGAGGAGAGGTTCTAGGTCAGGCTGAAGGTGCTGACACACATCTCTAATCTAGCACTTCAGAGACAGAGGCAAATGGGACCAGCCTGGTCTACACAGCAAGGTCCAGACTAACCAAGGCTACATAGCGAGACCCTAACTGAAAATAATATAGCAGTTGTTTTAGGTCATCCTGGGTTATACTGGAAGTTGAAGACCAGCCTGGGTTACATGAGACACTATTTAAAAAATGAGAAAAACAAAACTTCTAAAATCTTACACTAAAAAAGTTTCTTATGTATTAATATTATGTATGTGTATATACACAGCACATGTGTAGAGAGCAGAGGATAATTTTGTAGGATCAGATCTCTCTTTCCGCCTTTATGTAGGGCTCAGGAAACCAAAACTCAGATTTCCAGGCTCTGTAGCAATCTTCTTTACCTATGAGCCATTTGGCCAGCCCGATATAACTCATGTTTTCCTTTTAAACAGAATATACATTATCTATAATCTAGTTTTATTATTTCTTCATCTCTGAATGGTCTTTCTACACTTCTCTTTCTTTCTGTTTT